TTTTTTTTTTTTTTGCATCCTGAGCTTTGACAGGTTCAGAAGAACCATGATTTTGTAGCTTTTATCTGGCTTGTTTTGCTTGTTAAGGTGAAAATGATCGTCTGTTGTCATTTCTTCATCCTGATTAGAAGTGGGGCTCCTCCGAAGGAATACTTTTTACTGTGTAGCCTGGCAAATACCTGATCAAGTGTGCCGCCATCATTCTAGCTGGTTTTCTGTAGATGTTGCTTAGAGCTACGTTTCTAAATCTTCATTCTTCTCAAGTCCCAAGTCTCCAGTTCTGTCCTCAAGTGGTCTTGTCTCTTATTTTGAGATTAAAGTCATCCGCATTAAAATTTAATTATGGGGCTTATGAGGAGTGTGGGGAGAATTTATGGTAGGTGCAGAGAAAAACTAAGCACATGACAAACTGAGATAAGAAAGAGTTGTACAAAAAGGGAAACATGATTATATAGTAGTTTACTACCGGTCTCATCAGGTGCTAAACTCCTTTGGGAGATAATTATTAAGGCTGGAGGAAAGTGAGTGGTTGTGGTGTAAATCCTCACGTTCCGTAATCGGTAGATAATACTACCCTGGATGTTTCAGGGGACACCATCGTGAGCCTGTTACTTGAGATATAAATAGCAAGAATAAAGGGTAAAGATTTGAGGAATTGTACCTCAGTGTGAGAAGAGGAAATGTATTTGACTTTAGTCACGACGCATATTGTTACTTAGACAAAAATGAAAAAATATTTTTACAAAGAGGCCTAATTGACAGTCTTCTTAAGGGATGGTAAAAGTGAACCAGACCTTGTCTTCACACACTCTGTTTACCTTTATTTTCTAATTCTTGTTGGTTTACTTCACACTTGATGCCTTTTCCCTTCTTACAACTTTAGGTTTTACTTTATGATACTATGACGTTTTGTTTTTTAAGTTTGTTTCTACCATTCATTTAAAGTAGTAAAGACCTTTTAGGGGCGCCTGGGTGGCTCAGTCGGTTAAGCGTCCGACTTCAGCCAGGTCACGATCTCGCGGTCCGTGAGTTCGAGCCCCGCGTCGGGCTCTGGGCTGATGGCTCAGAGCCTGGAGCCTGTTTCTGATTCTGTCTCCCTCTCTCTCTGCCCCTCCCCCATTCATGCTCTGTCTCTCTCTGTCCCCAAAATAAATAAATGTTAAAAAAAATAATAATAAATAAAGTAGTAAAGACCTTTTCATAGGAGAAAAAGGTCACTTCCGAAAGTTCCTGATTTGATTTCCTGCCTCCTTTTCACGTTCGCTTTAGATACGACATTGAAATTATTACTGTTTGAAGTTAGCCTCTAAACCATCCTTTCCGTATCTCTTCTAGGTTAGATAGAGAAGCGTCTTTTCTCGGTGTGGGTTGCGGCCTTTGGTAAGAGCATGTCGTCCATCTTGCCCTTCACTCCGCCAGTCGTGAAGAGACTGCTGGGATGGAAGAAATCAGCCGGTGGCTCTGGAGGAGCGGGTGGAGGAGAGCAGAACGGACAAGAAGAAAAGTGGTGTGAGAAAGCGGTTAAAAGTTTGGTGAAGAAGCTAAAGAAAACAGGACGATTAGATGAGCTTGAGAAAGCCATCACCACTCAAAATTGTAATACTAAATGTGTTACCATACCAAGGTAAGTGTCGTTAGAGCAGAAGTTCGATGGTCACACTGTTAAATTGCTTAGAGGAATCCGAAGGAACGTCACTGAAATTTTGTTACCTTCAAGTCCCCTGTAAATCGTGATTTTATTAAAAGATGACAGCTATCTTTAACCTGTCGTTTCAGTTTTGTGTGACTAGTTAAGACTGGTTTATTTTACAGATCCTTTTCTTGAACAATGAGGTTTGACCAAGCAAAATAAAATACTTAGTTGTGTTTCAGTCTTCACTGCGTTCATTGCCTAAATGCTTCACTGTAGCGTATCCTCGTGTCTGATTGAATGACATTTGAATAAAGAGTCAGAAAGCTTTTCCTCTCACTAGCGCAGCAGTGACTGACCGTTTTCTCTCCCCTTGGTCAAAAATTTGGTCAGTAAAGAGTTAACGGAAGCTGCTAACACAGTGATGAATTTTACTTCCATAATTTTTGCTTGAGTTGCGGCATGGCTTCTTAGAACAGTCTAGGAGGCAGCTTCTTAGATGTCTAGGGAGTCCGAACCTCACTCAGAGACCTACCTGCCTCTCGTACTGGAAGGGCCTGTTACTTAAGAGGGTGAAGTTTTATTAGCGTAAATCTAATTACTCGATAAGTACCACTGTCAGAAATACTGTTTCTTTAACAGAGAGGGTGTTTTTTAAGTGTTTCACTACACTCGTATGCCTTGCAGGGTTTGGGGAGTGGCAGCATACAGCATTTTCTAAAATGACGTGTGGCAGTGTCCTACGTGTAGGCTAGCATAAATAACGTGACCTCATTCTACTTCACAGGTTTCCCGTGAGCTGTGTGTGGCAAATGCAGTCAAATGCTTGTTGATAGTAGATCCCAGTAACACCAGCCTCTCTACTTGCAGATACTAACAGTAGGATATTTCCTGCCTTATTTAGTCGATTAATTAATTACCCATTTCTTTTACTTTACCTGTTTCGTGTATATCTTCCAAAGAGTCGCTCTTTTGGTTTATGCTTCTGAGTGCCTGCTGAGTGCAGGGCACTGTTTCTAGACCCATGGGGATATGATACAGTATGACCAAAACAAAGTTCCTGCTCTTCTGAGCAAGGACAGATTGTAGCAAGTTGGACAAATTGTAGAACTTGAGACGGTAATGAGTGCAAAGAAGACAATGAGGGATAAAAAAGCTGCTTTTGATTGGCTTGTGAGCCTCAAACCGGGCTTTGAGAAGTAGCATCTAGCTGGAGGAAGAGTCTTCTGGGAGAGGAAGGAGCCAGTGTAAAGACACCCAGCTGAGAAATAGCTGATTGTATTGGAGGATTTAAAAGGAGCCCCGTGGAAATGGAGGAATACAAAATGAGTACAAGACGTAGAAGGGGTCAGATTATATAGGGCATTGTAAGGCACTGTGGAAGTGTGGAGTTTAGTCTAAATACAACAGAAAGCAAATGAGGGCTTTGAAGCCTGGTTTTTAATTTAAAGTGCGTGTGTGTGTGTGTGTGTGTGTGTGTGATTGGACAGTGGGTCTGGAAGGAAGGAGATCAAGAGGCTAGTAAAGTGGTCTAAATTCGAGATGCTGGCGACTGGACTGGCATGGTGGCTGTGCCGACACGTGAAGTGGACAGATTTGGATGGAGTAGACCTGAAGGGATTGGTAACGAATTGGCTGAGGGTAATTAGCCAGTTAGGACAAATCAAGCTACATTTGTTAATTTTTCATCGTATGGTGTCTGGTATTTCAGTTCAGTAAACATTTATTAAACAACCCACTACGTGTGTGATAGGCTCTTCCTCACCGGAGTAAAAATTCAGTCTTTGCTTTTGAGTTGTTTCTAGAAAGGGGGATAAACTTGACAAAATAAAGAAGATAATCTCATGAGGTGTCATAGGTGTTAAGAAAGATGTTTGCTCAGGGAGTTATGTGCAGAGGGGAGGAATTTTGCCTACTCTGCAGCTTGTGGAAGTTTCCTTCTGGACTAGAATTGGTGCCAGAGTTGAATCTTGATGGGTGTAAGGGAGGGATTTAGTCAAGAGAGGCCCGGTTTGCCCAGAGTGGCGCTGTGGTCTTGAGAGGGATGGTAAGGGGGCTCTAGTTGAAGGATTTTGTGCCAACTAGTACCGAGTGTCCTGGGAGGCTCTAGATAGGGGGTGGGATGTGGTTGGGCTGAGGCTGTGTGAGGAATAAGGAACCACAACGTGAACCTGAACCTGAACCTGAACCTGAGTGGGTGAGGGTGGAGTCGCTGAAGAGTCTTAGCACAGCATCGGGCTGCGGTGAGGAGAATGCTCGTGACACTGTCAGGAGTGGAGGCAGGGAGGCTGGTGAGTAGGTTCTCTTCCTCCTCCAAGGGAGCGTGTGTGCGGGAAGACCTGGCGCCATGGTTTTGTGCGCCATCACTGGAGGCTGAAGTGGCCGGTGCGGGGCAGTCCTGACAGGGCCGAGCCTGAGTAGAGCTCGCGCAGTCCCTTCCTTTCAGGAGATATGGTGGGTGGTGAGCTGGTGATTGAAATGTGTGGAGGTCACCTTGGAATTCTTTTCCTGTTTCCCATTCTTATTTTGATAGCCTCTTTGAAAGATCCTTCTAGGGTTCTTCTAGGGTTTATCATCATTAAAAAAAACATTTATTTTACTCTTTTACCTGAATAGTGAAAGTGGAGTGGTGGTGGTTCATTGTCCTGTCTCTTTTACTGTCCAGAGTTCTTTGAAGCTCACAAATTTGACATGTCTAATTTGGTGGCTTTTGGTTTTCGCTTTTGGAAGACATGTAGATTTGTTAATATTGGTTGTTGTCATCAAGAAGTCTAAGTTTCTAATACTGTGGTTTGGTTTCGTGTATTTTATAGAGTTTGCCTCATTTTTTAGTAGTAGAACACTTCGGTTATATCAGATTATTAGCTATTTCTTAACGAAGTGTCCTTAAACGTTCAGGCAACTCTTTACTTATCTAGACTGTAATGTTTGAGGAATAGGAGTGGGAAAGTTCTATTATGGATAAATCCAAACCATAGTTTAGGCAGAATTATTGAAAATACGACACAAAATGGTTTTACTGTGTAAGTTGATGTACTTAAAATTGCAAGGAAATTGTTAACAAAAACACGAAGGTTTTACAAGCCTAAAAATACCAACAAGTTCCTCTGATGAACAGGAAACAAATCCCTTAATTTTTAAAAACAGCAAATGTTTTGTTAAGATATCTGTTTTGTTGACTGTTCATACTTTTCCCCCTCGACCCCTCTTCTTTTAACGTTAGAGTGGACCAAAGTTAGGGCAGAAACTGTCCTGGCTTCATGTCCCTCCCACCCCTCACGCAATTACTCGGCCTCCATGGCTTTGTCTCTGGAGGGATAGAAGCTGTGGTTAGGTATATATGTCACTGCCTCTTCCCTGTTGTTGAAGGTGGTGGTACAAAGTGATTCATTGGTAGAACGTCACCTTCCCAAGCTGCAAGGAGCTGAATAGTATAAAAGTAAAGTTTTGTGAGGTTTTTATATCTCAAGCACTTTTGAGACCAAGGAATGGAAGACAACTCCGTTGTAAAATTAGAATGGCATTTGATATTTGGGTAATGAATCAATCAGAAGAAGAAAAAAAAAAGGCTTCCAATGCATATTTTCTACAATAAAGCAAAATCTAAACTGCTGTAGGGTTGGGAACTCTGAAGTTGAAGGAAAGGGGCTGTGAGGTCTAAAAGGGCCATTTTATAATATCCATTATATTGTAAATGTGTAGGAATGAAGAATTCATTTTCATAGACGTGCGTTATAAGGCTTTCCTACAGTGGTGCTTTGACCATATAATCACATTTTTGATCTGTCATCCTAAGAAAATAGGAATATGGTCAGAGGTTGCTGGTGTTCATTTCAGTTTTGTTGGTAATAGCAAAGAATTAGAAAAATCCCAATCCTGATCCTTCATTTTCTTACCTCTGGTTGTAAAGGAAACTTACCAACCCATTTTTATACCAGAATTGAACGTGAATAGTACAAGAAAAGTTTATTATACCAGTGTTACTTATAAAAACAGTTGCAAAAATTGTAAATAAATATCAGAAACTAGAGTTATTGGGACGCCTGCGTGGCTCAGTCGGTTAAGCATTCAACTTTGGCTCAGGTCATGATCTTGCGGTTTGTGGGTTCTGGCCCCGTATCAGGCTCTGTGGTGACAGCCCGGAGCCTGAGCCTGCTTGGGATTCTGTGTCTCTCTCCCTTTCTGTCCCCCTGCTCCCACCTCAAAAATAAGTAAACATTAAAAGAAAAAAGTAGGGTTCCTAAAAACAAAATCACAAAATCATGACTAGGAAAGGTTTATTGCAGGAAGGCAAATACGATTCAACTGCAGGAAACCTATTAATATGAGATACTCCACAGTCATATTTAAGACAACTCTGGGGCACCTGGGTGGCTCAGTTGGTTAAGTGTCCAACTCTCTGTTTTGGTTCAGGTCATGATCTCATGGTTTGTGAGATCAAGCCCTGCGTTGGGCTCTGCACTGACAGCATGGAACCTGCTTGGGATTCTCTCTCTCTCTCTCTCTCTCTCTCTCTCTCTCTCTCTCTCTGCTTTTCCCCACTCACACACATGCACACTCTCTAAATAAATAAATATTAAAAAAAAAAAAGAATAACTCTGATCATCTTGATGGATCTAGAAAGAGATTTTTATCAAATTCTGTATTTATTCATGTTAACAAATTAGAAATAGGAATTTCCTTAACTTGATAAAGCATACTTGTAAAAGTGTTAACACTTAACCATGAATCTTTAGAGAGAATATACCAAATTATTTATGGATACTCTAAAAAAAGGAATGTCCTATAATCTTTTCCTAATATTCATATATAAAAGTGTGTTTTATTTTTATAGCCAGCACAATGAAATGTTTAAATAGGACTTTTGGGCAATACATAAACTATTTACTCTTTTTTAACCCTTAGAAGTCAGTTTTTCTGTTAAAGGGTAATTGTATTTTTATTTTGTTAACAGTCTTTAGAAACATACACATTTATATCTGTATTTTCCTTCA